GTACTGGTGTCAGCGAGGTAATTCACAATAGATGATAGTCCTCATCGTTAATTCTGGCTGAGATCATAGACTCTAGCGAGGGATGCCGTGACAGACAGCCAAATATACGTACAACCTACCCCCAGCGGCCTTAAGATAATCGTTGAACAAGGGAAAAGGAGAAGAGATTGCGTCTGATCTACGAAAGTCCCTCCTCAGTGGCATTCAATTTGTTCTCGCTTGAAGTAGTAGTAGCTGCAAACTGCAACTTTTAGTCTGTCAGTCAGTGGGATCACTCAGTCATTGAGACTGAGGGTAAGACTTTGATGACCCCTCATAATGTAGCGCTTTCTGCTATCTCGACGGACTTGAGCACCCGAACGCATTAGGTTGAATTCGGATGGTGTGTGGAACACACAAATTTATCTGAGGAAAATGAAGTGCTCACCGGATCGAAAGACTTGTTCGACTCTTCGAAACGTCTGCCGAACAGGTCTTTCGATCCGGTGAGTACTTCATTTTCCTCAGATTATCAACCCGGATCTCTTACTTTTCCTAACCTTAATACAAATTTATCGCCACGAACGACAAGGCCCACCGTGTGCCTCACAACATGGTAGACGCAGAACGACAACTTGCGCGCGGATTGACTTATCGCGATGGCAGACTTGCACAGTACCTGTCGCACTCTCTCCACCCGCACACACCCTGAGGCCCTTGTCAAGACAGAGTCAAGCTACCTCACATATCCATTGCTTTTCTCGCTCTCTCTTTCTCTCCACACCCACCGTTCTCTGATGTCAAGACCAAGTCAGCACAAATTGAGCTGGGCGTGGACTCAGCGGTTAAGAGGGCTAAGCCGCCTCGATTAATACCGCCCTGTGATAGGTACAAACCCGCCAAATTTACCGTCAACGAGGAATGCGCTGACTTGCCATTAGCAGGAATTCCCTAATATCGGCCTCACACTTCCTTCTGTTCTGCGTACACCAGTGCCCTATGCGGGCCTGTCAGGTGACTGATGGTGAGTTGGAATACAAACACTTTCCTGGTATAGTCCCTGTCTAACGCGTGCCACAGGCGTATTAGTCCTGCACCTCACATGGCCAAATTTCTCCCCCCTCCCCATACCACAGTTTCTCGTGAGGGAGATTTGAATGTCCTTGTATACGACGTCTTGCTTGTCATAACGACATTGGCAAATTGTATGGTATGGTTATTGCGTGAGTGATACATGAGGTTTTGTTAGCAGCTGGGCTTTAAAGGCGTTTTACTTAATACCTCCACAAAGTCTCAATGTGCCTGTATGTTCAGATAGGGAGGAACGGTGTAAAGGTGACGTAGACTATGTACTAGGACCGAAGAGACGCATGCGGCGTGCCAGTATCCTGGGACACTGTAGGCAACAAAGGCGTGCGTATCGGAGCTGATCGGTATTGCAGACCTTAGTTTTGCTGGTTCACTTTCATGGATTCGCAGGTGAGTGGCCGAACCAATGCGTGACTGGAATAAGCAGTTACTCTATGGACAATTTGATGCTGTTCCGAGATGAGCGGTGATTTTTATGATGATGACGGATGTCCCCTGCGCTCGGGCGCCGTTCCGGCAGCGGTGGGTACGACGGTTTTCGACCAAGGCAAACCTTCTGGTACGCATTCGTACTAAGGATTCCCTCAGAGACTATAATGGTAATGGTGCTGTTTCGTTGTGCAGAGTGTGGATTGGTAGTTTTGACAATGCGATGAGTTGGTAAGCCTCCAGCAACGTCAGCCCTGTTCTTGAAAGCGTACTAACGGGAAGGGTATATTGACAGGAGCTGGATGGTGGCTGCATTGTTTCGTCACATCCCACTTTTTCGTACCCATTGTTTTGTTTTTGTCCTCGTCTATTTTATTGGTCTTAAGGATGGCTCTTCACCGTGTTCGCATGTTCTGCCCAAGCAGTTCCCAAACCTCTGGAATGATTTAAGACATGAGGCTGATCGTCAACTCAGGACTGGAGTCAAGCAGCATCCAGAATATGTCAGAAAAGCGACAGTTCTCGCTGGTGAGGAATGTCACGGCAGCCGACCAAAGAGACTCATCCGTTTCCGCCCAAATCACTTAAAGTGGTCAAAGAGGTCGTCGGCGACAGCAAAGTTTCATTTGTCTTTCTGTTCTTCACTTCTACTTTTTCTTCCACATCTCCGTCCAACGACAGCAGAGAAAACGGTAGAGGAAAGGAAAGTTAGGGAGTGATTGAGGCAAAGTTAAAATGTCCTTCGCCCTCCCTCCGACAGCAAGAAACAGTGCGAGATGAGAGGCGGCGTTCAAAGCGGTGGGCCATCCGTTCAGAGGCAAGCATCACGACAGGAGCCCAATTACGCAGGGGGATTTATTTGCTTCTTTTCCAACCAATTAAACCTGCGCTAGCACGGTGACGGTCACAGGGGATCTGTCAGTTCTCTTCATCTTAGACTCGTAGCGAGGAGCAAAAAGATAAAACAGTTGCTTTCTACTAAGAGCGTTAATGACGGAAAGAGAGAGCAGCGGGAATATGCGTGCTAAAAGCTAGTGAGAGTGCGAGAAGGCGGTGGCAGGACCTTCCCCCGAGGAACAAGCAATAAAAACTAGTGTGCTCCCAGATCTGTGATGGTTACGACTGAACTGGGACCAGGGCGGGGGCGGAGAAGGCGTTTGTGTGGATACTCACCTCGTTTTGCCTTTATTTTCCTCTCCACCGTCTTGGCAATTTGTCTGAAGCAGTTACGCATATGAGTGGGTGGTCGTGGGCGGGAGAGGTGTCAAAGAAAAGGTGTGGTCTGTGTGGGACTGTTGAGTCCTTCGCAGGTCTTTAAAGATACCATGTTCTACCGTAATATATGGGATGCTGTATGGCTCCAGCAGGTGCCAGGTGCATGTTGTGCCCGTCATATCTGGTCTGCCGAACAGATGACATGAATTCGCGAGCGAAAAGATTTGCGAGGGCGCTTATGGAGACCCTAGTCTGAATAATATCCTCAAGAGCAATCGGGCCTACTGAGTGATGAGTGAAAGCTACGGGTTAAACCATGATGATACGGCCTCTTGGATTGTTGTGTGGCCATTTAAGGGTCAACGTCAACTTGGTTGTCTTGGAAGACACATGGCAGAATGTCCGCGATAAGTGGCACTAACACTTACTGCCCTACCTTTCTGCAGTAGTCAAAACTTGTATTCTGAGGACGTACGGAAGGTTCATGTAGTCATGCATCATCTCACGGCTCTTTATTCCCCCGAACAGGCATATTGGGCCCTTTTTTTCATTTGAGGAATAGGAAATCTTCCGCGACATTAACTTTAGTAACTCCAAAAGTTTTTCAGCCTCAACCACTCCCGCCGCCATTGCCCTCTCAGCAGTAGGGAATCTGGTTTCTCAAGACCAAGTCAATTTGAATATTTAAAAATCACGCAAATTGATTAAGTCACTGACCTGCCCTTTTTAGGTTGACGCAGTTCCTAACCTTTTTTATATATGTATAAGCCCGGTTCCCCTTTTCTCGGGCAATACAATACTCGATGGTATATTTATCAGGTTCTAAAATGAACGGTGACAGGGGTGTTAACAGTTTCAAGCGACAGACGAAACAATTTTTTCAGAGAACAATGTTCTTTCAGACACTGCGATTATACGGTTGGATGCGAGGGACCTTTAGTAAACTTTCCCATTTTTTGGCAGTCCCGCTTACTAGAAAGAGCGCGGTCATTAGTTGAGACCATAAATCACCTTGATTGGCCCGTGCAGCAAGGATAAATTAGGAGTCAACAATGCCACCGAGCCGGTAACCACTTATCGCCTCATCAGTGGTCAGGTGCGATAAGTTCTAGAACGACAATGGCACGCCCTGTTCAGCAGAACATTCCCCCGATTTTGCTGTGTAACGTTAACTTTCGGCTTGCTGATTTAATAGAGGGACATGCCGTAAGAAATGTGTTTTAAAATTGACATAACCACCTTATTATACATGAGAGAGTTACGTTCACTGATTTGGCTTGATTGCGGAATTGGATGTAAGCTTTCCGTTCTTCTGTGACAATACGTTACAATGCGAGGTAGGCGATCGTAACAAAACATCTTGGTCTTCCGAAAACTGATTGGGTATGAAGACGGCACAAGGACCGTTTAAGTTTATAGTAGCGCATTTCGACTACTATTTCTGCAAATTGTAACGTAGGGAACTGACTTACTGTTCATCGGCACTACCGGTTCCGTATCCTTCATTGCTGTCAAATTTACAAACCCAGTCCGTTTTTTTGTGACGCATATGCGAAAACTGCGCCTTCTCATAGTACGTCTAGTATGTCCAAGTTGGTAAGTGGGTTGAAGTTTTATCTGCTATCCGGTAAAACGATCTCCGCAACATCCTGTCCCCAAAAACAATCGTTGTGATTATTTTGATGGACGCAGAGGACAGTTCTCTTTGTTTAAAACCGCGTAGTTCCTCAAAAGAGCCGTATCAATGGAAGCAGATTACCAGAAATATTGATACTGGATACGTAGTGAGTCAGGTACCCAAGTTTGATGACGAAATTGTAGGTTCTTAAAAGCAATATGTCCTTTCGCAAGTCGTATCGACAGTGTCACCAAAAGTCGTTTTTGGCCCAACTTGATTTCCTCCCGTCACTGAATATCATCAACTTCGCGCCCCTTGGTGTGATGCAGCATTCGCTCCTGTGCAGTCGATACATCGTGCGAC